CAAAAATTATTCATATTCAAATTTTGCTTATTCATACTTGAGGTTGTATTTTATTTATTGGAGAGGAATTTTGAAAGCAAACACTAATAAAGCATATCCATTATGTAGCATGAATTTAAGCTTTAAAACATGATTGCTGTCAATTTGCGAAGTCTGAAGTTCTAAATAACCTAAATTCACAGAACTCTCTTTCTGGCCTTAAAACAAATGCTCAATCATGAAAGATATTTCATGATATTACAGTTAAATAGTCAATTTATACATGAAGTACGTGATTTGCAAAGTGAAATATTTGCCCTGATGTTGCATAGATTATAGTGGTGGAGGAAAAGAAGTTCTCAATGCTCATATCTATGATCATTAAAATATTTAGACATTTATAATTACTTTTATTGACATAACACACAAGGTAAACCACAAGTAATTCTTTAGAGAAATTCTCTTTGGCTCAATTTGTAGAAATATTGATTTTAATTTCTGGAGTATTCTGAACAACGCTATGGTGTCTCTTTGCTTCTGAGATTGCTTCATTAACTTCTATTGTTTTTTCAATTCATAATTAACAGCCACATACTTCTGGTTTCATATTAATTCAGACACATTCATGTTCAAAGAAACAGTCTGAATTTCAAAGTAACAATGAAAGACAGAGCTTACCTAGAACTTCGCTGTAAAACTGATTCCACTTCTTTTCATTAAGTGCTTGGAACCAAAAGTCAAAGTATAAAACATGCATCATATTCTTTACCCTCTCCACAAATGTCATCCGGTCACTTAATTCTGAGAAAATTACCGGCACATAGGAAGGAGGGAACGGAAGTCCCCCACTAAACTTTTCAAAAGTATATCCAAAAGAGAAGCGAAGAGTGTAGACGAGTGGTATTTTAAATACCTCCGCCAGCAGCTCACCGCAGGGACCAATTGCATCTGCGATAACAACATCAAACTTTGATTCCTGTAGTTTCTTCATAAGACTCTTGTTCCTAACTACTGCTTTGCATAAATTTTCAATAGCATCAGAATATTTATAAATGGATTTTTGCAATTGTGAATAATATGTCCAAAATGATTTTTTTCCATAAATATCTGTCCATTCTTTTACGGATTCCATAAACATATATTCCAGATCATCTTTGCCAATTGATGTAGGGAAAATCTCGAATTTAATAGTAGATGATTTGCTGGGATCAACAAGGATGGATGCTGAAGATGTCAGAACAGTTACTTCATGCCCTCTCTCAACAAGTTCATCCAGGATTATCTTTATGTTCATCCAATGACTGTATTCTGTGGGCCACACCAGCACTTTTCCACAAGTTACAGATCTGAAGCAGCATATCAGCTGTGTCAATAGCAGGACTGAAGACCATTTCACAGACATCTTCCTGCAATGCAATTCTTTCTGCATTTACTGTTACTCTCTATAGCCTTCCATGTTTATATGTAATGACAAATCAATTAAGAAGTTAACGCATAACTTCTACAGTTCAAAGTGCAGGAATAATATGATAAGCTTGATCACCTGATTTCACATGTAAATAAATACATGGATTGAACTGAAGATTTTGAAAGTTTGTTTGCCTACTTTCTTTTTGGACTGTATTCTATTCACTATGATATAATAAAGTTTTCTGTGCAAGTCACCTCTCTTAATTATAATATTTCAGGGTCCTGTCAAAAATTGTGGCAGTTGAGAGGCTTTTGCTTCTGTACTGTCCTCATGTAGCAATAAAGAACAATGAACGATACTGTTGAATCAACATTTTTCAAAGAAGTTATATTTCAATTTTTTGACTATAGTACATACCACAGCATTATGCTCTGTAGTTAGTTGCTCAGAATTGTCATGTTCAATCCTGGAAAGTGGAGGGAGGCTCAAAAGACAGAGAAAAATGAAGCAAATGAACAAAAAAGCAAAAGCACTCACAAAACTCATACCACGTAATCTTAGGTAAAATAAATCAAAAACATTTTCTGGGGTAGAGATCTGTTTTCAGAAATACCTATAAGTTGTTCATGGAGCTAGAAGTGCGTTCCCTGAGCTTTCACGCATGCTGGGTGGGCTTTTAGATGAAACGGTTGCCTGAGTCATCCGTGCTCCAATGACTGACCTCTTTTTTTTTTTATCTTGAAGTTCTAAAAACATACTTGTATGTTTATGTTTTCTTTTCTTTTAAATTATTTTTTTTATTTCTTTCATTTTTTAGAAGCATTTCATTACAGCTGTAACATACTGAACAACAATTTCCAGAGCAAAGATTCATCTCTTTCAAAAGTGGCTATAAAATTTTTAGGTTCACAGATCGATTAATACAGTTATTTAATACTGAACTCAGTATAAACCCTGTAAGACAAAAAATTGAATGATTCTTTAACCTTCAAAAAAGATCTCCACTTGACGTTCCTGAATTGAATCCAATAAATTGTTCATCTCATAAGGCTGCATTTGAATGAATGCATTTCTTTCATTTTTTTCATCATTGCCTTATCTGATGTGAAGATGTTTGTTCCCAACTTCCCAGGAAAGGTAATTTTTGACACCCAAACATGGAAGGACAGAATCATTGATGATTCAGGGAGAAGTGATTCTGTGGACCTCTCTGTAGGCAATATAATATGCAGCTGAAACTCAGCTGTCTTCCCAGAAAGAACTTCCTTGTATAAGAAGGGAATTAAAACATGAGAAAGATATGATGCATTTCTTCACATTAGAACCTGATATGCAGGAAAAGTGAAAAAAAAAGAGAAGATAGACATGTTGATTTGATATTTATTAGAGCTGGTAGGGAACAGGAGAAACAGTGACATTTGGTTTGTAATGAAAAGCTCTTCATGGGATCCTAAAATGCGAAACCCATTGGCAGACTCAGGTACTGAGGAGGGCGAGAATACAGCATACATGATGGAAGGTACCTCTTAGTATAGGTACCTTTAGTATAGATGGATGCAAAAGTCCATGATTTACAATTCAGAGAGGAAACTTAATCATGAGTTAGCAAAGAAAAACATGAAAATCACAGGATAAAATTAATCTGAAACGCTTGAACTGGGAAGATTTTTTTTTCTTTTAACTTTTAATTTTTCCTCTTTTTATGTAAATTTTTTTTACAATATACAAAATGTTACAGTAATTCAGATTTTTTGGCATAATGATTACAGATTTGATAAATACATTTTATATCTCATAATAGCGGGAACTGGGAAGACTTTTAAAGAGAAAAATCGATATGCCTTTTTCTGCCTGGCATGTGAGGCTGTGAGATATGGGGGTAGATGAGCTCAGTCTCAGAGCCGTGTATGCAGAGAAATCATTTTTTTTTATTTAACTATTCATCCCTCCTAAAGACAACCTGCATAATTTGCAGCAATTTGAAGGAAATCTGTCCCAAGTGGACTGGCTCACATGAGCCATTAGGAATTCGTAGTATTTGTTATCTCAGTTCCCCATGAATATCAGGGACTTAGAAGTGAAAAGGAGAAAGGACGAGCATTAATAATGGACCTGGACATGGGAAAGATAGAATTTGATACCTAATTCATCAGGATCTATAAGATTGTGGTCACAGGAAAGTTTACAAAAGAACTTAGTTCAACAGGTACAGTCACATTATTATGGGTCTTCAGTGTTTTGTTTTGTTTTGTTTTTAATGCTCTTGGAGGGGTGCATTCATTGCAAAAGTGTTTCTACTTAATTTAAATGATTTAGACCAGCATGTAAATTTGATTTATGAGAAACTAAATCAGACAGGTAGGGGTCAGAAAAAAGAAAAATTAGAAGAAAGCGTCTGTTTGATGGATCAGGGTTGGCTCATGACAGTGCCCCAAGATAAGGACAAACTTTTCACAGAGAACCACAGTGGATTATACAGAGAAAAGTAAGATTGTGCTTCCTACCTATCCATAACATTGCATCAAACACATTATTTAGATATTATCCCACAACATTGATATAGTTTTACAATTATTTTTGATTTTAATTTTTTTGTGTAGAAGTGCATCCGTGTCGTGCAGTGCACACAGAGAACAGAAGAGGGCGTCTGGAACTGGAGTGAACTATGGTTGTTAGGTAGCATGTGGGTGGAGGGATGCAAACCTCGGTCTTCAACAAGAACAGCCTGAGCTTTTAACCACTGAGCAATCTCTCCAGCACCAAATATTGATATTTTGATAGAGTAATTGACAATTATAGGAACCTTCCGTGTTCTATTAGACTTTGCTAATTTTTGAAAGTATTACCCTCGTTACTGAGTCCAAAACTAATTGACACTTGCATGTGGGTGGAGGGATGCAATCCTCGGTCTTCAACAAGAACAGCCTGAGCTTTTAACCACTGAGCAATCTCTCCAGCACCAAATATTGATATTTTGATAGAGTAATTGACAATTATAGGAACCTTCCGTGTTCTATTAGACTTTGCTAATTTTTGAAAGTATTACCCTCGTTACTGAGTCCAAAACTAATTGACACTTATTTGAAGGGATCTTGGTATTGTATATAGATATACAGACATT